CCCCAAAACCCCAAAACCCCAAAACCCCAAAACCCCACTTTGTTTTAGATGGGTTGAAACTCCAATTGTGAACAACTTAACTTAGAGATCATCTGTATGTCCATCCTCTTCTTCATAATAGTCATTTCTTTCAGAATGTTCATACTCTTCGTACTCTTCTTCATCCCATTCTTCATATTCATCATAATTGTAGTCATCTCTTCTACCTAAAAATCTTGAACATGCCAAGCATACCCATTGCTGCATTGAACATTGCTTCTTTAGCGCCAGGACGGTTGAAATAATCCCCCACTTGGTCTGTAATATCTACTGACTCAATCTGGTCCTTCACATCTAAATTTTAAATCCTGTATCCTTACCAACAGTCTCGAATTGATGTGTCTCAACTTTGCTATGTTTCAATTTTGGCTCAATATGTCTGCCCTCTTCCCTTGCTACAAAGTAATCGAAGTCATCATAGTCATCTTCTTCCTCTCTAAACTGCTTAGCGTAGGTTTCCAAAGATTTTTCATATTTCTCGTGCATTTCCTTCCAGAGCTGGACTCTTCCAGGCTTGTCTTCTTCGTCATTCATGTACAGCTTAGCTAGGAGGTTAGAGACGGGAACTTACCCCAACGGTTTGGCAGAATCTTTTTCTTGAGATGGATATATATCCTACCCATTGACTGCTTCTCCCATGAAGATGCGGATACGTTTACATTGTCATAGAAGTTCAGGAATAATTTGAAATGAAGAGTGTCATCTCCTCTCCTGCATTTAGCTGTCAAGTTCAAGTGCTTCTCGGTAATCTTAATCTTCTGATCCAGAATATCTATACATGCTGGAGCATCCAGTCTGTGCGAGAACTTTGTCTCAATAAAAATGTTATCCAAAGACTGAGCCCACTTAAAAGCCGGCTTGATTACCAAAGCTTCTCTGTCCTCTCTAGCAAGGTCTTTATATAACTTGGATTGCTTTTTATTTAAGAATAGATATTTGTTTGTTGATCACATCCAAAGTATCTATGTCGTTCTTGGCATAATATTGCTCAATCAAAAACTCTGCCATATTAAAGAAATGCTTTGATGCTGCATATTCGAGGCAGGTTAGATCAAAGGATTTCTTCTCGTTATAAGCTCTCTTGACTTCGTCGAATGCTAATTTCTCAGAAGAAGTTCTTTCAATGATGCCTCAGTCGAACTCTCCAGAACTTGAGGACTCAGCAAATCCTAGCAAGGCCAAAAAGCTGATGATAAGCAAGAATTGCCTGGTGATTAACCTCTTAGCATTAAGCTTGAATCTGCTTGGCGATTCTGAATTATAAGTTTTATGAATTCCCTTTCCTGTGAGGCTTCCACGTAGTATTGAGATATCCCTCTCGAACATAATTATTAATTATAGTCAATTTAAGATATAATATTTGGGGTTTTGGGGTTTTGGGGTTTTGGGGTTTTGGGGTTTTGGGGTTTTGGGG